TGTGTAGTCACTGGGTTTGTGTGGAATCGGCGTAAAAATCGTGATAAAGAGGTACATACTACGTTACGTGACATCTCCACAGAGGATGATGATCTCCTATGAGCGCAATGGAAAGGAAAATAGTTCGTAATAATGATAATAATAATAATAATAATAATAATAATAATAATAATAATAAAAACCATAACAAGCCTTAAAATTTGGGAAGTTTGTCGCAACTCTGCATCTTACTCCCTTATCGTCACCTTTACAAGAAGGAAGAATATAGGAGTGAGTGCAGCAGCCACCACGTATCTCACTCCTCTCATTTGGAGGGAAGATCCTGGCCAGAGTTATCCTGAAGAGACTAAGGACAAGCACAGAGGAAGTTCTACCAGAAAGCCATTGTGCATGGTTTTAGGTCTGGTAGCACCACAACGGACAGGATTTTCACTTTTCGGAAATTACAGGAGAAGGCAATCGAGCAAAATCAACTCTTCTTAACACTCCTCTAACACTCCTTTTTTTTCAACTTCACTTTATTAATAACAACTTTTAGGAGGACTAGCTGCGTTACAATCAATTTCCCAAGACCAGACAACAGTATTTATCGGTGGCAACAATTATCCCAAGTATTAGAAAAGTTTAGTTAATGTCCATCAACCTACGACAGCCAATCGTGTTGGGCTACGTGTAACTTTTCTTGCATACTTCCTTCGATTTGCTTACCATTTACCGAAATGTCATTAGTTCCACAATAACGAAAACAATATTAGTTAAATAAAAATTGTAAAGAAAGGTCTAACAACATCAAAATATAAAATCCTATGAGGACAGCAGAGAAAATTGCCTGTAAAGGTTGTCACATAACAATAGTGCAGCCAGAAAAATTGGAGAAGAAGGAGCTTACCTAAAGTGCCGCCTTTCCCATAAATTAAAACAGCAACTTAATGGAAATTTAGTGCAGAGGGTGTAAATCAAAAGTTGTTTACAAACTCGGCCACCTCTAACCGAATCGCTGAATACAAGTTCCTTGGAGGTGTCAGTCAAGGTATATAAAGAAATGTAGAAACGCGGCCGTCTCCGATCATAAATTCCATATAAAAGAAACCTAGCAGAATTAAACCAAAACAAGAGAACCCTTTACGAAAATATTTCCAAAAACTTGACGAAAACAATTTTGCGATCCGTTCTACGATTAATTCACATTAAGAGAAGATACGAACTAATCTAAGCTTTAAACAGTTGACAATAAGTGTTCAATAAAGTTAAAGAGTATTTTCTCTTAATAAATGTCATTAGCGAAGGGTTTTTTGGAACATTGTGCTTGTTTTTACATCTGTTTTCAAACTTTTAAACAAGCTTCACACTGTCTTAAGGATAATAGTGGTATTTCACTGAATTTACAAGCCGTTTATCTTTAAGATATTTTTTCAAATTTCCAAATCATTTGCTCGAGAAGGAAAATAATTTACTCCCCTTACCTATTTGGTGGCAAAACTGAGAGAAATGAAGTGTCCAAGCGAAAGCTCTAAAAGTTTAACATCGCGATTAAAGGTGTTTATTTCTTCTTCTGAATCTATGACAATCGACCCTGTCACTTCTTCCGTTGTCGCTTCTTCGTCTTGTTTGATTGAACTTTTGCTTACCATTTTATGGGCCGCTTTCTCGTTTCCGCGAGGGAAAGAGGTTTTTTATGCCTCTCCAATAATTTGTAGTTCATTTCAAAACAGGGAAGAACCTGGCTCACTTTGAAAAACTCTTTTGTTTGTTTTTGGCTCTTCATGAGGTGACAATGGTTTTGAAATCACTCAATTGACATTGTAGAAAACTTTGTTACAATTTCACGATAGTTGTTATGTTTACGTAGATGCGAAACAATATCACTTAGCCTAAATACTTCGATTCGTTGAATAATCAGAATGCGAGATTTTATTCAAATATGCGATTTTACCTTAAATATATATCTACTGTCTTTAAATTCCCATCACTTGAAGACACAAATTTTAAAAGGACACTACTTTTACTTTTGTCAATTTTATCGTTGAACTGAAGTAATGCTCCATCATCTGCACACATATTGCGTGTATTCAGATGATCAGATGACAACTGTATCATGACCGTCTTAGTTGAAATGGGCATTCAAGAAGATCCCCTTTCACTGAGAAAAAGTTCTGTATTTTTTTTTCTATTTAATTCTCTGTTTTCTCTTGGCTTTAAGAAATGCATGAGGTACTGACTTCAAACCAAACAAAAGCTCAATTTCTGAATGTTAGAGGACTTGTCTATCTTGAAGGCGATAGAGGGAGGAACCGGTGGGGTTTGAATTCTGACGGCATTTTGTTATATATATATTTATAAACCGTATTTCTTCACTTAAAAGGTGCACTCGGTTACAAGACGCACCCTAAACTTTCGAAGACGATTGTGACAAGTAAGCGAAATGAAAATTTCACATAAATAACCTGTTATAAGGCACACCTGGAATTACGGAAATTTTGTCGACCGTGTTCGCTGTACTTACAACAATTTGCTTCCCAAAGTTGATAATTACAGTGCTCCCATTCTCAAAACAAAAGCGAAAAAGTCACACATTACAAACAATAGCAAAAAAGTCACACATGGAAAATAGCAGAAAAGTCACTCTTTTTAATTCACGAAAGTCATCCTTCTCAGGAGACTGTTTTAAGTTATGGATACTAATTGATCGGTTTTTACGTTTATAATCAATACTCATCTGACCAGTTCATCTTAATCTTCGAGCATTCGTTCAGCGTACCGTAAATTTTCAGTAATTATGCCAAGCACTCGTCGTCATTCCTATGATCTAAACTTTAAGTTGAAGATCGTAGCAGAAGCGGAAGCCGTGAACAATAATCGTGAAATTGCTCGCGAATACGGCTTATCGGAATCGATTGTCCGTAAATGGAGAAACCAACAGCATTTCTTGTTTTCCGGCGAGGTAAAGATGACTGCCAAACGTGCCTCGATGGGTCGCTACAGGCCAAAAGATCCAGATGTTGATCAGCAGTTGGTTGACAGGTTCAGCAACCAAAGAAGCCAAGGCAAAAATTGTTCACTTAAATGACATTGATAACTGCACTGTTTAAATTACCCCTACAAGTTGTTTATGTTGGCCTTTCGCTGTTAATCGCTGATCGCATTGTTTTTAAATTTGCAGGTGTCGCAGTAAACAGCATCATGATTCGGCTAAAGGCGAAGGAACTCAGCTCAGATCCAGACTTCAAGATTTCCCCTGGCTCAGGTACACGAAATGGAAACGTCGCCATGCAATTTCCACAAGAACTAAGACGACTTTGGCTCAGGGCCTTCCAGCCGACATGGAGGACAAGGTAGTGGAATTCCATCGCTTCGTAGTGAGAGCGGAATGACGAGGATAACGAGGAAGAAGAAGCAGGAGACACAGAAGAGCGGATTGACGACGAGTTCGAGACAGACAGCGAAGCCGAAGACGACGAGTAGCTGAGCTCAGCCGAGCTTTCAAACAAATGGTTCTGGTTCAAACAAATGGTTCTTTTTAGAACCAACAAATCAGATAAAGTCAATGATCAACGCTGACTGTCTTTGGTTTATTCATTTACCGGTATTTATTTACATACTTATTTCAGTTTTTTTAGGGAAATTTGGAAAAGTTGTATTTTGTTGCGCGAAATACTCGGTTATAAGACGCTCCCAAGTTTTGAGCAGATTTTGATCAAACAAGCATATTTTCTCGTAAAAAATGGTGCGCCTTACTGGTGAATAAATACGGTATAAATATACATCTTGATTTTAGTCTATCCTCAGGCGGTATAGTGCTCTGCTCGATGCGTTCGCAGAGCGTGGTATATCTGAAAGTTGGACAAATCATATAATCAAATCAATATATATATATATATATATGTATATCTAATAAAATAATGGAAGAAATAAAGCTGGTCCCAGTTGTTTACAATTATCCAAGAGCGTTTCCCCGCGCGCACACAAGCACTTGTTTTTTTTTTTTTGTTTTTTTTTTTTACTCGAGTCTACCTGCTACTGTTTTACATATTGAATGATAATGACGCTCTACAACTTGCCCAACTTTTGGCTCATCAGGAACTTTTCGCTCCAACTTTCAGTTTCGTCATACAACATCTACTGAGTCGTATTCTACAAATAAAAAAATGTCGTTTCGTATGACAGTTTATTTTTGACAACGTAAAGTGCGCATAACTTTCAATCTGACCTCGTGTTGTAGACAGCTCATGATTAATTGCACTAACATCCTTTATCTGGTATATTAACAAGACTCACGGCAAAACCATAAGGTAAGTTTATGAATATTTTCTTCTTCAAATGATGATTTCTTTTGCATTTTTCTGCCAAGTAAAATAATTTTTGAATAAAGAAATGGAGTTATATAAAATATCTATTTCGATCGTGGTATTGTAAACAGCGAAGACGAAGACCTATATGCCAAAAAGTTATTTTTCAAAGGGGTTTTCGGAACAATTTATCGTTAAACAAAATAGTTTGATACAATATGTTTTATTATTATCACACAGCACAAAGTAGAGTACAAATAACGCGTGAATAGAGCACATATATCCTGCGATATTTTGACGAGCCCGCAGGGCTTGTCAAAATACGGCACAAGTCGTAAAAATACTCAACGATACCACACACCAAAACGTCTTATAAGATTCATCAGGCATGATTTATATGTGATGTGTAATCGCCCGATTGTTTTGAGACAACTGATCAGATGGTAGCTTGTATACTTTCTGTGGAAAGTATTAGTGGCCATTTTTGTCTTCAACATGATATTCTGACGTCTTGAATTTTTGCTAATGTTTATTAGTAATTGTTTCCTTAATCTACAATGATCAGAATTTTATACAGAGCTAACTTTAATTTGAGGCACTCTTCGTATTTTGTACCTTTATTAATCGCTCATGGAAAACATTTGTATGAAATATTAAGTTGATACAAGACGCTTTTATTCAAATTTCCTCCATTGGTAGACAGGAAGATCGATCTCAGTATTTGTTACGTCAGGGGGAGTCTACCAGCTATTGAAATTCAGCTGAAATATGACGTAGCTTTTCTGTTCTCCGCCAGCTTATCATTAGGGTGCATTTGATCGCTTGTATTGGGATGAATTTTTTAGTCTAGTGACTAATAATTAACGTTACAGGTAAAGACTGGGATCTTTTTCACATACGTTTGTCGCAGGTGGGAAACAAATGGACACATTGTGTCTTACGTTTTGGCATACCTTATTTTAGTACTGACTATAGGGGAAGTCTGTCGTGTTCACCCCTGATTTCGAAATGTCATTTTTAGTCGCCATCATTCACATATCGAAAAAGAAAAAAATAAATGAATCAAAGGGCTCTTGAAGTCAGCTCATTCATGTTATGGCTTAAGTTTGTATTGATTTGTATTTGATTAAGTTTTTCGTTTGTCTCACGATGTAGTCACGTGTGATGTAGATCGCAACTTTTCGACTGCATACTGCTAGTCTTCTTCTGGCAATGGTCGACTGGTCATGCGCGATCCTCTAGAGCATGATGCTCTGCTGTGATTAGTTGTTTTTCCAACAGCTCTAATTGGTGCATTTCAATCCTTGCTGTTCACTCAGTGATTTGTTCACTCAGTGATTTGTTCACTCAGTGATTTGCTCCCTCGGCGGTCCGCTGCCACACGGCTCTCCTGTTGTTGTGTTTTTTGATCGTGAGCATCCACGCTTCTGGAATTTCTATTCCACTATCCCTTTTGATTTTGTCAGGGTGAAGTCTTATATGAATTGTCTCTTTGACCCTGCGCGTGTTGTAATAAAGGTCACGATCAATAAACTTAACTTCATTCCAGAGTGGCTTGTGTCCGGTGTTGTGGGCATGCTCTGAAATGGCGGAAGTTTTGGTACGGCTGAGTCGTATGTCTCGATCGTGCTCCTTAATTCTGTCTTGCATAGGTCTGTCTTGCATAGGTCTTCCAGTCTCTCCGATCCACCTTTCCGCATTCACAGGGAATCCTGTAAACTACGCCATCTTGTTTAGCCGGGTCGACAGCGTCTTTTGGCCGTATTAACTGAGATCTTAGCTTAGTCTCCGACTTGAAAACAGCGCGTACGCCTTGTTGTTGTAGGCAACGGCGAAGCTGTTCGGACAGACCTTTGACATAAGGTAAAACCGCAGTAGCTTTGAACTCGTTGGCGGGTTCGGCATTTTTGTTTGGTTTTCCGATCTTGGTAAGTTTCTGCAAGAAAGAAAAAGGATAAGCATTAGAAACCAGATCAGATGACAGATGTTTTTTCTCCTCGGAGATGACGGAGGGTTTTGTTACGAGACGTTTGGCGCGCTAGCAAAGGCACTAAAACAATACCGCGTTTTACTGATTGAGGGTGGTTTGAATCATACGCTAAGTATTGAAAAGTAATTATACGGCACATACGTGAAAATCAACGAGTATATACCCCTGAACGTTGAAAATTTATCAAGTGGAAGGAACAATTTTGATCTCGGTCCGCATTTTTGTCAATAAAATGAACACATATCGGTTAAGGAGATGAAACTTACGGACCACGTGCAAAGCTGTCAATTGTTTCTTGGATATTGCACATGTAAAATATTCAATAGTGACATTTCATTTACATCTACATCTTCATTTACTTTTATTAAGTCGGTAAAATCTGTACAAACATCACACCAACCAACTCGCGCACAAAGTGAGAAGACTATATGGAGGCTTGAAATTATATTAAGAACGATTGTGATCAAGAAACGGCCGAGGAATATTCCACAATAGTGCAAATAATCGTGAAAGATAATCGCGGAAAAAGCGATTGCGTGACGCTCTGTAAGTTGTAAGATGACATGTTACACGTATCAGACAAAAATCAGTATGAATTCTCAGTCTGCGTTTTGTACCTCGTCTGCATTTTGTATTGAACGGATTGGTATTGCTGTGTTTGTCTGCAGTCTACATTTTGTATTGAACGGATTGGTATTGCTGTGTTTGTTCGAGCAAGCCTCAAGTCTGGACCGAAATATTGGAGCTTGAAAACAATTTAGTGAAAATATCTTAGCCGCTACGATTGATTTGTGGACTGTATGTTGAAGAGGTCCCGTAGAAAAGCACAATGATAGAACAATGATTACTTTATACCAACTAAAGACGAACGCAAACGCGCTACTTACCAATATGGCTGCATGCCTCTGATGCTCTTCCTCGTGGTCATAGCGTGGTGTTGAAATGAACCCGCTAAGAGCTTCATCGAAATTAATTTTGACTTTTAGCAAGTAGGGAGGGGTAACATGCGAGACTACTTCCGTTCACGGTCCACAATGCAACTTCGGTCTATGGAATACAACATCCGTCAACATCTGCCTCACCACAATACTTCATTCATTGCTTCCAGCATGAGTGAACTAAAAATGAGATAAGCTAGTGGTAGTAAGAAAAAAATTGGCTTTTCTTGATATCGATGAACCATTTGGAACATGTACAATGTACAAAAATGATTCATTCATTGTCATTTCGTTAATGCGGTCGCCAAACGAAAGCACGCATATGATGGATAAAAACCGGATTGGTAAACTTTTTGCTTCTACGAAAAACAAACCTGTCTACTGCCGTCGACATTTCAGGCGACACGACTCCCATAATGAGAAAGACTCTCAATGACTTCTATTTCGGTTTTGAAAGGCAATATTTCAATGAATGAACAGTGAATCCTTAAGTTTCAATGCTGACGGGTATTCTCACGTTTGACTCTCCATTAAAAACATTTTTTCTTACATTTATCATCGAGGCAAATTGTATATTATTATTATAACAATTTTTAATATTTCTTTTTTAGTGCACTCTTAGAGCTCATTGAATTAAACAAGTTCAATACTTATTCGTCCGTTAATATACATGCGGTTAATCTTCCACAAACTCCTTCCACGATGCATAAGTTTCGTTGATCGCGACTTTTACTTCGTATCGTGATGACAATAGTAATGGTATTATCTGAATCGAAAGAAAACGAAGAAGGATGTCGCTATAAAATGTTAGGAAGGATTCAAGAGAAAGTGCTGTTTCATATCTGTAAATGTTAAACTGCAAGATATTTTCATTTTTTTCAAATTACTCCAGGTGTGATTGTTCGTTATTTTCGTTCATTATAAGAGTACATAGTTTCCTTTGGTAGACTGCCTTACTTCTTCAAGTTCACGACCCCCGAGTTTAACCCTGACATGAAGAGTCGACTCACTCGACATATCCATACAAAGTTCTTGTCAAGCCGAATAATCTCTTTTTTAATGATAAGCAATGTGGAAGTAGCTTCTCTATCTCATCGCAAGAGGTCACTTTATAATAAAGCTCGGATATAACACGTACTGTCATTGGTTGAAAGAGCGTGCTCTATGAGAGTATAGAGCATAGAACTGAGCTAAAGCTGTCACGCCATCTGCCAAATCGTACTATGTCCGACCTTTTCCGGGACTTCTTTCTAGCATTTCTTTCGTTAATTGAAAGTGAAATTTCGGAACAAGCGAGCAAAGGTTTGCAAAAATGCCAGACGCAGTAATTTACGTTACTGTAACGTGAGCAGAGACAAGAATCCTCAAAGATAAAACAAGATAGACAGTCCGAGTTTTTTTAACGGTTTTCACGCTCAGTTAGATTGTGAGTTTACGTACGGTAATAAAAATAAAACACAGCTAACACTTGTATAATATATAAAGTTTCGATTTCAAACAAAAAAAA